ATTCTGTCCCCGTATAACCACTATTCTGAGTGTTATGTTGGTTAAACCACCTCTTCTTTGGATATTTTTTAACCACATTTATATGTTTTTAAGAACTTTATTATTTAATTTTGCCCATATTTGAAGTGCATGCAAGTAGAACCATATTGTATATATTCTCCTGTGACCTGTTTTTTCCTTTAAACTTGTATTTTTGAAATGAATACCTATGTTTATAGCAGCACAATTCATAATAGCTAAATCTTGGAAGCAACCTAAATGTCCATCAACACATGAATGGATAAAGAAAATGTGGTATTTATACACAATGGAGTTCTACTCTGGCCTAAAGAAGAATAAACTTGAGTCATTTTTAAGACAGTGGATGCACCTTGAGATCATAATCTAAAGTAAAATAAATCAGACACAGAAGTTTACATATCACAGAGTTTCTCTTATATGAGAAACCCAAAATGTAAATAAAGAGCAAAATAAAAGAGAGATAACAGGAAATAGGGAGGTAGATCTTTTGCAGAAGGGAAGGGGACCAGGAGATGGCGGGGGAGGGAGAGGAGGGGAAGGGGATGAAAAATGATTAAGATGTGTTATGTACACGTGCCAACTCCCCATAATGAATGTAATCATTATGTATAATAAACATGTATTAATAAAAATGAAAGAAAATATAATATATAAACTTTAAAAATCTTATAATTTTGAAATTAATTCATGTTGATGAGTATTACTGTTCTCACAATATACTACTCTAATATACTTTTCATGAATACCTTTTTTATTTTTTTTTTTGGTACCAGGAATCAAACTCAGGTCCTTGCACTTGTGCAGCAGGCGGCGAAACCACTGAGCTAAATCCCTGGCCTCATGAATACTTATTATGAGCGATGTTTCCATTTTTTTTTTTTTTTTGTACCGGGGATTGAACTCAGAACCTTGCACTTGCAAGGCAGGTGCCGGAACCACTGAACTAAATCCATGGCCCTGGAATGTTTCCTTTTTAAAAATTATATATTTATCACTTGGATTTCCAGTTTATAAGGTATATGACTTTCACATTACTAATTAGTACCTAGCAATTAGCTATGATACCACTTTTTCTTTTTTCTGTGGTAGGGATTGAACCCAGAGCCCTTGCACTAAGCTACCCCTCGCCCTTTTAAAATTAAAAAACATTTTTAAAAATTTTAAGCCCACATCTCTGTAAGTCACTAAGTTGCCTGGGCTGGGTTTGAACTTGCAATCTCCTTGTTTCCACCTCTCAGAGTGTGGGATTACAGGTGTGCACCACCATACCTGGATTCAAGGGTACCGATTTATACTTCCATTTTCCATATATGAGCTTCTATTGCTTCACATACTTAGTAAACTTGGTACTGTTAGTGCTTTAATTCTTGCCATGCGGGTGAATGTGACCCAGTATGGCATTGTATGTGTGTGTTTAAACTTTTAATTTTGGCATTGTGGTTTTAATTTGCATTTCCTTTACTCTCAATTGTGTTGACCATATCCTCATGTTCATTACACGTTGTCTTTCCTCTTCACTGGAGTTCCTGTTTTTGCCTTTCATCTGTTTTCTTTGGGGTTTGTTTTCCTTTTTCTTATTGATTTATAAGCATTCCTTACATATTCTAGAAATTAATCCTTTGTAATATGTGTTGTAGTTGTCATCGCCAAGATTGTGGCCTTTTTCTTATTCTTTATGAAGGCTCTTGACAACCAGGAGTTCTTAATTTATCTTTTTTTTTTAAGTAAATGCTTTTTTTGTCCTTTGTTTAAGAAGTCCCTCTATCCTGGGGGCCTAAAATTATTATCCTATATTGTGCTCTGTTTTTTGTCATAGTTTTACCCTTCACACATTTGTGTTTAATCTGTCTTAAATTGATTTTTATGTATTTCATGAAGGCGGAATTTTAGGAGTTTTTTTCATATGGGTAACAGTTGTGTCAGTATCATTTGTTACAGTGCATCTTTTTTCTACTAATCCTTAATGTCTGACCTGTCCTAAATCCAGTTTCCATGTCTTGGTTTATTTGGGATGTTGTACCAAAGTACTGTAAACTGAGCAGCTGATAAAAGAAAATTTTTTGTCAAAGTTTTAGAGGCTGGGAAGTCCAAAATCAAGACAGATTTGGTGTGTGGTAAGGGTCTGCTTTGAGACTGATACATGGTGCCTTCCTGCTGTGTTCTTACATGGTGGAGGTCAGGAGTATCTCTGGAGCCTCTTTCGTTAGGACACTAATCCCATTCCTGAGAGCTCCACTCCCATACCTAACCATCACCAAGGCCTCGCCTCTTAAAACTATCACCTTGGGAAATGAAGATTTCAACATATATGCAGTAAATGTTCAGGCTGTGGCACCATACACACCTACATTTATTTCTGCAGTCTCCTATTTCATCAGTCTATCAGCTCCTGTGCATGATTTTTACCACTGCAGCTCTATCTTGATAGCCGGTAGGGCAAACCCTCCTCTTTTGGTCTTGAAGAATAACTTACATTTTCATGGTCCTGTCATCTTCTGTACAGATTTTGCAAGCAGCTTGTCAGTTTCTACGAAATAATCCTTTCTGTGATGGAATTCAGTGCCACAAACAGTCCATCAGGCAGAGTGGCTGGTCCCTCTGGAAAATGCTGCTAATCTGAGGGCTCAGTGTTGGCCTTTGTGGTCGGCAGGTGGGATGCTCAGCAGGATTGTAGCCAAATCAGCTTGGGTGAGTGGGAGCCCCTATTGCTGAGCTGGTGAGTGGCTTCCTTCCCTTCCACCTTGGCCATTTTGTAGCTGAGTCCCTTGAGCAGGGAGAAGAGTGGCTTGGGACATGAGCTGCCTGACATCCACAGAATGGGTTGTCTTCTCCATCAGGTTGTTGGAACATTCTTCTGAGCAACCTCACATAAACATGCTCATTTGGAGAGATCTGTCTTCACTCCTCTTACAACTTTGTCACAAACTTTCTAATCTGATTCTTTCAACATCTCTGTCCATGCAGCCATGTGTGTGAATCAGTGTACCATCCATACCTCTGGCTAGAGTGAAGGGTGGCCTGGGAGAAACCACCAGTTATGTGACTGTTAGAGAAACTGCCATACCTCGCCCATGTCTGGGGAGTGAGAGTTTGTGGAAGGGTTGGGTACTGCTGCTTCTGCATGACTTGAAAGTGGGAACTGGTGGAGAAATAGTAAAGCCATGTCTGATTGCTACAATCTTCTGGGGGAAAAAAGTGGCTATTTCACCTTCTTTTCCACCTTCCAGGCTTGCTCAAGTTTTCTCATCGACCAACTCTAACCTGGAGTCATACTAGAGAAGTAATTCTATGACTTAAAAGAAGCGATGGTAGTGCCAAACTGGCAGCCGGCCAGCCAGCCTGATGGCATGTATTATTTTGTTTGCAGTCATTTCCATATTGAGATGAAATATTGCTAGCTATCCTGGTCTGGGAATGGCTTCCATGACTAATATGCCGCCTACTTGTCCGTTCATCTGGGATGGCGGGCTAAGGGGCAGGTACTGGCAGTATACTGTGACAACAGGTCTAATGATGTGGTCTAATCATATGGAAGCGTATGATTATTGACAAAGTTTGAAATGTATGATGCCAGGGGCTAGTCTGTTCAGGTATAAGTAGGACCATGTTTGACAGTTAATGTTAAAGAGCTTATTCCATCTGTTTAAAACAATATATTTCTCTTTCTTTACCTTTGAATGATTCATCTAAAAATGACACTGTAACTTATAGCAGCATAATACTATTAAAAATGCTCTATTGCCAAAGAAGCAATAATTTATAATAGTTACCTTCCACCTCACTGGTTACGTCTTCAGCTGGATTCAACCTGCTATTTAACTTATTCATTGAGTTTTTACTTTTTTTATTTTTTTGAGACAGGGTCTCACTATGTAGTTCAGGCTGACCTGGAACTCACTATGCAGTCCAGGGTGGCCTCGAACTCAAGGCAATCCTCCTGCCTTAGCCTCCCAAGTGCTGGAATCACAGGTGTGTGCCACCATGCCTGGCCGTTGGGTTTTTAATTTCAGTGACTTTATATATTTCTAATAGTTTAAAGTTGTTTTCTCCCTGAATATGCTTATTCTTTCTCATGGTAGCTTCCTTTTTTTGAACTCCTTATATTGGTAATTATTTAAGGCATACTTATTTTGTAGTTTATATGTTTGTTCTAATGGGTAGGCTCTTGGCATGCATGATTAAATCCACTGCTTATTTTGTCCAACTCTTGTCTACATGTCTTGTAATTTTGGATCACGAGCTCATCCCAGCAGCACTCTGTGAGAATCATGGACAGATTAGAGAGTGTGGCCTCCACAGTAGTTTTGTGTTTATTACTGTCAAGATCACTGTCCTGAGACTAATCATTAGATTCTTTTACCAGTTTGGGGGTTCCTGGACCCCAGGGATAGGGTAATCAAAGTTTGCACCCAGTAGGAGATAGAGAACCGAGATTACAATCCTTGGGGAAATTTTTTCCACTCATAGCCTAGACTACAGCAGAAAAGTGTTTGTCAATTCTTCATCACCCTCTGCCCTCCCCTAACCCTATAATGATACAGCAGTAACAAAAGATTATTCCTTTGCTATTTAGTCTTCTCTCAATTTTTGGCCCTTGAAGATTTCCTTACCTGAGCTCTTACTGTGGTTTTCAAAGGGTATCTATTACAGTACAGAAGTGCCCCCACCTGCAGGGGATACATTCCAATACCCTTCCCCACGCACACAGATGCCTGGAACCTTGCAGAGCACTGAACATTTTATATAGAACTCTATGTTTGTTCCATATTTATATATACAAATTTTATGCCTTTTCCACCTTAACTAAGCATCTATCTCACACTGTGATTGTAACTTTTGCAGTTTGAGGTGTGACAGCAAAACTAGCACAAATCTCTTCCTCCTACTTCACAGTTTCACAGATGCATTCTTACTGTAGATCTTAGCAACCATGGAGTACAGTTTTTTTCTTTTCTTATGAAATTGAGAATTTTCATCTTTTGACTTAAAGGAAGCACTTTTATTTTTTAGGACAGGGGATCGAACTCGGGACCTTGCACTTGCAAGGCAGGCTCCAGAATCACTGAGCTAAATCCCTGGCCCCAAGGAAGAGCTTTTACAGCTTCTCTTTGGTATATCCAACTGCCAGTAATGTTATTCTTGAAACTTGGAGCCATTATTAAGTAAAATAAGGATTATCTGAACACAAGCACCGAAAGACTGTGACAGTCAATCTGATAACTGAGATGACTCCTAGGTGATTAACTGGGCGGTAGTGTATGGAGCATGGATACTCTGGACAAAGGGATGATTTGCATTCTGGGCAGGAAGGAGCTGCCAGAGATCTTATCCTACTCAGAGTGTTGCGCAACTTAAAATTTATAAATTGTTTATTTTTGGAATTTTCCATTTAATATTTTTAGACAGTGGTTGACCATAGGTAACTGAAATTGTGGAAAGGAAAATGGTGGATAAGGGAGGGATTATTGTATATTTTATCCAGAATTTCTAGGTGTTTTAAGTGAGAAGATTTTTAGGTTTCCTAGTGAATCCTACTAAGATCATAAGCTTTAGTATTTAGCACTAGTTTTCACTAATCATTTGTCCCTTTTGTCTATCATATTGCCTGAATAGGAAAGATACTAGATCAATATGCTCTTCTGCTCATTCTTTGTTTTTCCTGGTAACTGAGATCCTTTGGCCTCTAGGCCTTCCCTCAGTGCCCAGGACAGAGCTTGCCACACAGGAAGCACTCCAAGAATGTTTGTGAAATGAACTGGAAGAATAAATCTGACAGATGAAGACTGAAACAAAAAGCAGGAAATGACTTACGTCTTTGGAAGTTCAGGGCTAGCTAGCTAGGTAAACTTGAGGTGGGATCCTTCCCTCATTGTTCATGTTCTCCACACATCAACCCTTTCCTGCAGTCATGTGATGACTTTTCCCCCTCTAGTCCTGCACTCTGGATATTATTTTATTGGAGGGTATGGTCCTGTCCTCTTGTTCCCTTCTCCAGGTTTCAGCCTCATACCTGGTGGCTGGAGAAAGAGGTAGAATCAAGAAAATTGGCCACATTCTTTGTGCTTCCAAATTGCCTCCTCTGTGCCCTGATGTGCTATTGTTTATTTTTATTACTGAATTTGTATTCTTGATAAGAGGCTAGTTGCTTTAGCTAAAAATGATTTGCTTGATTTATTCCTCTCAAAGAATACAACGCTTGCCCTAACTTGAGCCCTCCCTGGCTATCTGGGAGCAGTGTTGGGCTGCAGTAGAGACAGCCCTGGGCTGGGAGACAGAAGCTGGCAGGTCCCGGCCCCTCTGTGTCCTTGGACAACTCACTTGCCATCTCTGGACTCAGTTTTACCATCTGCAGCTTAACTGGATGATCTTTAAGAGCCTCTCCAGCTGTGTGACATCATGTGGTTCTACTTTACCTTTAGCTATGTCTTCTCCAGTGTTCTTTTGTCTCCATGTGGACCCAAATTCCTGACCAATATCATTTTCCTTCTCTTTGAAGAACTTCTTTTAATATGTCCTGCAAGGCTGGTCTTCTGGCAACAAATTTTCTTAATTTGTGTTCATTTGATTTTCTACGAAAGATAAAAAGCAGTAGAGAAATGAAGAATGCATTTTGCCTTTATTCTTCCTTGGAGCTTCCATCTCTCGGCTTGTAGCACCCACCTGCTCTTACATGTTGTGTACTTTTTCCATTAGAATCTTTAGCTTTATCAGCTTTGAGTTACTAGAATTAAATGCCTGAGGTAATCAACTTATAATAAGAAATAGTGCATTTAGCTCACAGTTTTGGAGCTCACCTCCCTCCAAGATTGGCAGCCCCATTGCTCTGGGCCTCTGGATGGGGTAAGAACATGGCAGAAGTGTGTGGCAGAACAAACTGCTTATATCTGAGCCAGGAAGCAAAAGGAGACAGAGACTGGGGTCCTCCACTCTCTCAAGGGTACACCCCAATGACCTATGGGCCTCTCTCAGGCTCTGCCTCTCAAAGGTCCTACCACCCCAAATAGTGTCACCCTGGGGAAATCAAGTTTTTGACACATGGGCCTGGGAGGACACTCATCCAAGCCACAGCAGCATGTTAATCATAGGTTTTCCCTCCAACATTCTTGGTCTGATAAATTGTAGCATCCCTACTCCATCTGAGTCTGCTTCTGATTCTTGCTTACTCTCTGCAAATGATATTTGTCCTTTAGTGTGCTTTTTTTTTTTAAGTGGCTAGAAATGATATACCAGGTAAAGAACTACAGCGACTAAGCCTTGAATGAAGTGGTGGTAAGGAGTTAGGGTGTGTGTGGGATCCTGTAGCCCTGTGATTGGGTCTCAGGCTTTGTCGAGCTTGTGCTCTGGGTATGAACTTAACCAGTGCATCTCGGTGACCTTTCCTCTCCCCTGAGGTGGAAAAGGATGGCTAGAGAGGGTGAGTTGGGTTTTCCTTTTCCCCCTCATCAGTGGGGCTCTGATAAGACCTGGCAGATTAGGCTATGATAAGATGGTTTCTCTTGAGGCAGGACTTGTTTTCTTTTCAGTGCTGGGGACTGAGCCTAGCATGTCAGTCCCTGGCCCTATTAAAAACAGGTTTCTCTAATGGATTTCAAGCTGGTTACTGTCCTCCTGCCCCTGCCAGAAGCACGCGGGGGCTTTTCTCTGATCTTTACCATGAGAACCTGGTGGAGCACCTGTAGGTAAAAGTCACAGACACCTGAGTGCCCCCCTGGGCTGGGCTCCTGGGGATTCTACTCTGACTTGTCCACCCCCAGCCTCCAGAAGGTGTCAGTTACTGCTCAAGGTATCCTGCCTGGAACTGGTTCTTACAGAGGTTTCTGCTCTGTTAAGTTGTCGTTCCGTATGTCTGTCTGTCTCTCCAATTTGGGGGGCAGCCGTTTGCCCTGTGACCTCACTTGTCTAATGGATCTAAGAAGAGTTGTTGAGTTTTCAGTCTGTTCAGCTCTTTTACTTCTTGTTAGGACAGTGTGGCAATTTCCTTGCTGGACCAGAAATTCATTCCCATGTGGTTGTAAAGCACACCAAGGCACTAGAAAGAGTGTTCAGATAGAACATTGGTCCATGCATTTGTGGCAACTTATATGCTTGCCTGTTAATGCAAGGGGCCAGAGAGACCACCAGGGAATGGGGTGCTTGGTATGATTTCAAGGAGTTTAGAAACACTGGCCCTATCCCCTAGAATGTAGATGACATTTTGAGGAGACCTTGAAAACATCTGGGGTTCTGTAATAAGGAAAAACCAGAGATATGGATTTATAGCACTACCCCTAATGGGGGAAATATAAGGAATTCTGCCCACTTCACAGAGTATTGTGTGGCCCTTACAAATGACATTTTCACTTTCTAGCAAACTGCCTATGCTATAACAAAAAAAAGTAGGATGTAAATGTGCAGACACAGGGTGAATGAAGCTAGGTAAAAAGCACAGCGCAAATTTTTTTTAAAAGGCTGGAGGTGACTATGAATGCTTTTTCTCTCTCTGGCGAAGCAGTTTTGCTCTATGCATTATATTTTTTCTATTCCCTACAGTGAGAATGTATCACTCTTATAATGACAAGCAAACTGCATTAAAATAATATTCTAAAGAATATTCCACTTTGTGCCACAGGGAGAGGGGAGATCTGGTTGACCCTTGTGTCCATCCCCTGGCCCACCAGAAACATGGGTAGGTGGGGAGGTGTCCAGGGAAGGATCCAGGCAGCAATGAGAGGGCACCGCAGCTGGACTGTGCTACAGAAGCTGCTCTGTCTGCATAGCTCAGAAAAACAAAGAAGGGGTCACAGTCATGCCCTGAAATCTCCCAAGGGAAGAGGAATCCAAAGAGCAGAAGCAGCAGTCCTGGGGAAGCCCCAAGCTCCTGGGACCCAACATTTAACTTAATAGAAGGAAGAATGGCCGACTTTGTAAGCTGTCCAAGCCTAGACCCAGCAGCCTGGGGACATTGATCCTCTCTCATCCTTGGGAGGGTTGACAGAGGCTGTTGATCTGTTGGGGACTGTAGTAGAGAGTCTCAGCATTCCCCTTCCATTTGTTAAGGGAGAAGGCAAGAGTTGGAAGAAGAGGAATCAATTCTGCCATAGTAGAGAGAAGGGCCTCTTGAGCCAGACAGCAGGGTTCAAGGATTGGATCCCTCCTTACTAGCTATGTGATTTTGGGTGAGTCGTTATACCCCTCTGTGTCTCAGCTTTCTGGTCTTCAAAAGAGTGTAATAAGAGGCTAACTGTGACGAATACATGAGGTAGCATTAAAGAGCCCAGTGCAGGGCCTTGTACACAGTCTGAGCTCAGTAAATAGGTTGGTGGGGTGGCAGTGGCAATATTCTGGCCCCTCTGCAACTTGCTCAGCTCCCTGTTCACTCTTTTCCTCACATGTTGCCCTTGTCACATTTGGAATCTCAGCATCTGTTGGTCCAAAGTCATAGTCTGTATTTGGCTGAACTAATTTTATCCCAGATTACTGCTGAGAGAGTCAACATTCCTCCCTCCCACCCTCCTGAATCCCCTCAAAGGTACACATTTTCCAGGCTGGCTGCTCTCTTAGCTTGGTTTCGTTGGCCTCCCTCCCTGCGCTGGTGCTGAGAATGTAATAATGAATCCAGCCTCTCAGCCAGGAGCTGGGTACCCAGGAATTCCGGCTTGGCCTGGCCAGCTCTGTTTGCCAGCACATCTGTTTCCAATCAGCGCTGCGTGCGCATTCTTTCTGCCAAGCGTGCAGGCCCAGAGCCTGGGGACTGCGCTAATTGATTGCTAAATGGATCTTGTCATTTCCAAAAGAGGCCTCTAGGTTTGCCCTTTGCTCTGTCTCTGCTCCCCATGGGCTGAAGAGTTTAAGAATTAACTCATCAGCTGCCTTTGATGGCTGAGGATGGCCTCGAACCTCTAGCGTGGGAATTCGCCAGGGCCTCTGAGAAGCTCCTACTCTTTGTCAAGGGATTTGAGGCCTGAAAAACACTTCTATGGATACCAGCCTACTTCATTTGCCCAGTGGCTTTAAGGTCTGGCCCCTTGGACAAATGAAGAAATCAAGGTTCAAGAATGTGAGGTGAGTGGCCCCAGGTCACACGAAGCTGTGGCAGGGATGACGTCATCTTGAGCCTGACTCATGCTACATATAGGTTCTGTCCTCAGAGCTCAGCCCAATAGGAGTGTCTGGCCAAGCTGGCCACTGGGGCTGCAGAGAGGAATGGGACTGCACAGGACTGATTGTCTGGGCCAGGACACCTGCAGGGTCTCAGTGTCTGGCTGCCAGGTCAGAGTGAGAACACCTGGAGGGGGAAGATGGTGCTGGTGTTGGGAGGTAAGGGGCAGCTACCCAGCCTTCCCCCCTGGTAGCAAGCCCTTCCTATCCTGGCTTCCTTGCTCCACAGGCCCTGGGCTTCCCTGCCACCAAGAGGAGAATGAAGTCTCCATCTGTCCCCTCTTGTCTCCCCACCTTGAAGTCAGGCCCTGTTGTCTTCTGCCTGGAACAGTCTGCCCACAGCAAGTGGTGAACATACAGAGGCAGAAGGAATGAGTGAATGGCTCATTCTGTCTCATTTCCTTAGATGCTCTTTGGTCTCATTACAGTTGATCAGTGAGAAGGAGATTAACTCTTCTGGACTGGAGATGTAGCTCAGTGGGTAGAGTACCCACCTATCACGTGCAAGGTTGTGGTTTGGTCTCCAGGACCGCCCAAAAAGAAAACAAAACAAAGCAAAACCCCAAAATCCCTTCCTCTCTGCAGAGCAGTTTAGCACTTGGCTGCCCCAGACCTTGACAAAATCTCTGTGCTTCACTTGTCACTTCTGAAAATGGGGATGGTGTGTGTGTGCAGCCTGGCCAGTTGGAGGGTCAGTTGGTCAACTCACGGATGTAGAATTAATGCCCCGGAGGCGACTTGGTTCAGACCAGAAGAAGGGGTTCCCCTTAGCCTCCTGTGCCTAGACGGAGGGTCCCACCCCCTCAAGATCTCTCTCTTCTATTTTTCCCTTCTTTTCTACATTAGTTAAGACTTTGGCTAAAAAGTCAAAGAGGATTATGCTTCACTCCTGGATGTCCTTCTAGCTGTGTGACTTTGGGGAAAATGCTTGACCTGTCTGACCCTGGTGTGTGTAACTTAGGGACAGTAGCACAGACACCTTGCATGGCTGTTGAGAGAAATCACTAGAACAATGTACAAGAATATGCCTAATAGTGAGTGGCATGTGTTCAGTGCTCCATAAATGTCAGCTACTCCTGTTGTACTGCCACAGCATGTTATTTCCCCCTGGGCCACTCAGACCTCTGTTATCTGATCACCCCACTACTCTGCTCTTGCAGAGACCTCCTGCTCCTCTTGATTGCAGAATCTTGATTTCTCCTCCTGATTCCAAAATTCTTACCCTCCGTGACCTGTCAACAGCATATGACACCACGATGCCCTTCTTCAAAGCTATCTCATCCTTTAATTTCTGGGCTAAAACCCACCCTGTGGTTCTCCTTGTGTCACTGACCATTTATTTATTTTTTGTAGTGCTGGGATTGAACCCAGGGCCCCATGCATGCTAGGTCAGTGCTCTACCACTGAGCTACATCCCAGTGTTCTCTCTGAC